AAAGGTGAGAGAGAAAGGCTATAACTAAGTCATTTGTAAATCAGTCGCGGATGTAGCACGGTTAATCGACGAAATGTGGTGACGTGCGGCGAAGTTCCTGTAGTAGGAAGACAAGAAACCGAAGTTAATGAACAAGTTGTGTAGGTAACACAATATTTCGGAACAAATTTTATGTCTCAATTTATGTAACATATTTTAATTGACCATTATACGGAAAAAATTATTTACTTGAAAGAAATACCATTATCATAGTTATTTTTTAAACTATTTTAAAAAATAAATCAATTACCATAAGTAGAAGTATGTTTCTAAACACGTATTTCCATCAGAAGTAAACAAGTTTCCTAAAATGAGGTATATTAATAACCCGTAGTAAACAGTTAACTTAACTTAGGCACCAGTTTGCCTACTATAAATGTTTCTAAAACTGCTTTAATAACCACAAAATAACACATATTTTACCATATTTAAACATTCACTTACGGCTAGCGATTACTTCAACACAGTAAGTCCCGATCAGCTTCGAAACATCAACTAACTAAGACTCGATTTCATCTGATTTAATTTTTGCATTATCTTTCCTATCAGACGATCACAGCTTACAGGGCAGCTTCCCAACTAACAAAGTAGCTTTATAATTTTTAGTTTATAAGACTATTAGATATATATTTTATTGCTTTTATATTGTTGTTTCTGGAATGACAATTTGTTGTACTAAAAATGCAGAAATCACTATTTTGTTCTCTGAAACTAAATTGTTATATAAATTAGTTTTTACAATATTCTTACAGCAAAATTATAAAATAGTTTTCACGATAACTATAAAATTGTTCCATAAACATTTATACAACTATTCTATACAACATTTCAGTTAATAAAATTAAATTGCTTTATAGTGATTCTATATTGTTGCTTTGGATCACCTTCACAACTTTTTGCTTATACAAATACAACTATTTCTTAAGCTCATAATAACGTTTTGAAAAATAGTTATATAAATATTAGTGTAAGATTATTCCGCGTTAATAGCAATTTGTTATTAATGAAAACTCTAAAATAACTGAAATGTAGTGTCGAAATACACTTCTGTAAAGTATTTCGATTTATGGCTGCCATAGGGTTTTGTTGGTCTTTCTTCCAATGTAATTTTCAGGAGGGTCAAAGCTGTAAACTTCATTGTATATATACCCGCACAAATAAAAATCAAGGGGCGTTATATCGGAAGAACGAGCAGGTCAATGTTTTGGACCATTGTTATATAAAATTGCCAAAGGTTGCAGAAGCCTTCTAAAAACCTACAGAAATAAAACAATTTTAATCGCCACTAAGTTCATTTTATTGGTTACTGTATACTAATGTCCCATCTACATTTTTATAAAAATATGTTAAGTCATTTTAGAACACGAGCACAAAATCACTGCTTCTAAAATTTCTTCTTTAACCCCCTGTAACTTTTTTACTATCCATTTTTTTATGTAAGCAAGTAAGCCTATATTAAATTATTTTTGTAGTTATTTTTAAAAATAATAATATGATTTGATCAATAATTTGGTGTTTGTCCCTTTTAGAGTCAACATTTGTTTCACTTTTTAAAATTATCAGTACACAGAAAAAAAGGTGTACTATATTCAAGTCTTATTTCAATGCTTCGTTGTATTTGTATATCCGCAAGTAAAACTCGTCTCGATTTGAAATTCTAGTAATACTTGTTCAACAATAGCTAATAAGCCTTGCTTCAAGATTAGAATCAACTTGCCCTACACAAAATACCTCTAATTAAATGAAGAGTATCTATTGCTCAATTGCAGTATTATATACATCTTAAATGAAATAGTCTTACACTTGTTTTAAATATACTTTATTTATATTCAATAATACCTTGTTCTTAAATCCAATACAACTAAATTTGTTATAATAATAATATGATCTTTGACATAAATATATTAATTTTGGTTGAATTATAGGATAGTTTCATTGAAGAAATTAATAATCTTTAAATAAGATCAGGCTGTTCTTGATTTTTAATAGGGTTCTCACCGAAAAACATTTTTCAAAATTGTTTTTAGTTAATATACAAAATTTCTCTCTCCTCTGAGGTGTCCCACCTATAATTAAAAAAAAAAAAAATAATTTTATAACTTCAAAACCTAAATGGAACATAAAAGTTTGTCCTACTAAGATAAAAGGTCGTATCTACAAAATGAATATTTTTAGTAAATGTGGGTAGGTAGATAATTACGTCCTTCTAGACTTCCCAAATAAATTTTGCATATTTTACTATCCTTTTCTTATAATTATAATAAATATTTTCTAATGCAAATAGGCCTTTATTATTTTGTGTTATAATAAAATAAAATGTAAGCTTATTAAATTTGTAAGAATCTTGAAATCAGAATTTTCTTAGATACGACCTCTTGTCTTAGCAAGGCAGAAGTCGTCTTTCCAAAAAGTCGTCTTCCAGCATCGTAAATTTTTTTACTTCTATTCCAGTTTGTTTCGTGTTCTTATGATTATAAATTTACTTATATATAATATTACCTAACAAGAAGTGAAATAAATATACTTACATTTAAATATTGGTATCAGGTCGCTGAGGCCCCATTCATTTAACAAATGTTCCATTTCAATTTAGTTTATTCATACACTTATTAATTGAATCACAAAGAATTTCTAACAAAAAGTAACACGCAACCCTAACAATACGATGCAAACATGTTAGAAAATGAACAATAGGATGAACACGTGCTAATGCCAATTTGCCAGATTCTCTATAAATGCGTTGTGTCTCTGACTTCCGAATAATAAGTGTTACATCTCAACATGTGCCCGTTATATATCTACCGTATCAGCGGTTGCATTTTAAAATAAGTTTCAGCTGGCAACACCGTGCAGTGAATTTGTACTAGGTGATATTTTCTGAAGTACATAGGTTTTTGATTCAAATTGTTTAATTCTTGTTCTGAAATTTAAATGCTTTAAATCGAATCCTTTTATAACATTGAATCAAGTACGCAATAGTCGGTTTTAAGAGCATATCATACTTACAATAAACGTAAGAGCTTTCTTGGATTAATTCACAATTCTATACTCGAATGAAATTTATTCTCAGATTAATTATTATAATTCTTAAAAAACAAGATTATGCTCATACTTCACTCAACATTTATTTTCTTATTGTATCGAGAAATATTATTTAAAGCAAATTCTGTTTTATTTTAAACAAATGTAATCTTCTAAGTGTAAAGCTTTTCTTGAATATAGATAATTTTTTTGTGTGTAACGGCCCACCCTAGGTCCCCTCAGGCCAAATGGCTTGTTACGCCTCTGATGACCCACTGTATAAATAGCGAATTTACTTTGGCAATATTATCGCTATTTAACTAATACAAAATACCTACAGCCAAGCACACTTCCCATAGTAGGTACTCTAATTCAATGTTTATTTTTAGTGAAAGAAAAAATATACCTATATATGTTGAAAAAGGTTTAATCTCTGTATCTACAGAGACACTTCTCTAATATATCATTCAATTTTTATAAAAAAATCATAAACTTTCGACTATTTTAACAATTTTAACGATTTTACCATTTTTACTTTTGAAAAACTGGATAGAATGTTGGAAAAGTTGTTCCAGCTCAATACAAATGTAATCTTTATCTATAAGTACATATGTATTTTTTCTTTTACCAATAATTAACAAATATGAATAAAAGGCAAATGTAAATATAAGTATATACAGGGTGGCTCACGCTCAACGGGACGGAGCTTTATGGGAAAACGACCAAAGATATAAAAAATTCGTTTGGGAGGAATACGTAGGTTACAGACGGCTACAATTTAAAATTTGTTAGATGTATACAGGATGTCCCACATAAGAGAAAATATACAAAGTTATATTATTTTTAATGGAACACCCTGTTTTTTATTTTAGAATTAAAAACTACATCAAAAATATTGTCAGTTAACTGAAGGTTCCCTATTACTATTATTATTAGTTTTCGATTTATTTGAATTTTTAAGGAAAAAAAGTCTCCCAGAAATTAATTGTTTACTCTTGTTTGAATAATTTTTAATAAACTAATTTTTTTTTTCTTATGTGGGACATCCTGTATACATCTAACAAATTTTAAATTGTAGCCGTCTGTAACCTACGTATTCCTCCCAAACGAATTTTTTATATCTTTGGTCGTTTTCCCATAAAGCTCCGTCCCGTTGAGCGTAAGCTTTTAGTTTTTTTGATGTATCCACAAACAATATTATAAAATGAAAATGAAAAAATTGGCATTTTGGACATTTTCTCAACATTATAAAAAAATTACTTAAAATTACTCAAAATTACTCAAAATTACTCAAAATTACTCAAAATTACTCAAAATTACTCAAAATTACTCAAAATTACTCAAAATTACTCAAAATTACTTAAAATTACTCGAAATTACTCGAAATTACTCAAAATTACTCAAAATTACTCAAAATTACTCAAAATTACTCAAAATTACTCAAAATTACTCAAAATTACTCAAAATTACTCGAAATTACTCGAAATTACTCGAAATTACTCGAAATTACTCGAAATTGCTCGAAATTACTCGAAATTACTCGAAATTACTCGAAATTACTCGAAATTACTCGAAATTACTCGAAATTACTCGAAATTACTCGAAATTACTCGAAATTACTCGAAATTACTCGAAATTACTCGAAATTACTCGAAATTACTCGAAATTACTCGAAATTACTCGAAATTACTCAAAATTACTAAAAATTATTTAAAATTACCCGAAATTACTCATAATTACTCAAAACTAGCAAAACTTTAAAAATATTGAAGATAACTCTGAACTAAAAAGATTTACGTAAAACTTCTTTCATTTACCCAATCCTTATAGGTAACGTTGGTTAAAATTGGGATAAAATTTGGGACAACCTATATAATATCAAATTTCATAAAGTTTGTATATATACAAAATTTTTATTAACCTATAATTCATTGTTTCAGATTGTCCTGAACTCGATGCACAGGTATCAGCCGAGAATCCACCTGGTGAAATGGCGAGAACATTCGGGCCCCATCAGCGATCTCGAGTCTGAGCAGTATAGGACGTTCATATTTCCTGAGTCTGTTTTCACGGCAGTAACGGCATATCAAAACCAGCTCATCACCAAATTGAAAATCGATTCTAACCCATTCGCCAAGGGGTTCAGGGATTCTTCACGACTCACCGACTTTGACAGGTAGGGATTTATGATGTTTTCCAACTTTGGAGAAAGTGATATCTTGGAAGTGTGATTTATTCGAATTGGGTTAGAATGTAAATCAACGGGAATGGTTCATTCCGTGTGAGATAGTGACATAGTAAATGTGTGCTATCTTTTTTATTGCATTCTTTATTGTTTTTACCATTGAAAGGATCTTTACAGATAGCGAAGTGTTTGGAAGGGGATAAAGAACATTTCTGAAGTTTTTTAATCAAAATTAATAAACTTTTTAAGTACCTTTTGTTAGGAGTAACCAACGACAAAAAACTTCTACACTAATATTATTTACAAACATCGAATTACAAACATTCACGTAGTTGTCATATTATTATGAAAGAGTATGGGAGAGTATTTTTATAAGGATTGTTTATGGTTATAATTCGGAATTAACTCAACGTAAGGCTCTAAAGCGCACAAAAAGCTTTCAAAATTACATTAGGGAAGTATATTTGCATTCTTAATACCAGTTATTATTAGTTTAACATATTTTTTCTACATCCACATGGATATTAGCTCATCTACGTACAGACTACAAAAAGAAAAAGTATGCTATTGCGTTCAACTGAACGAATATATTTCATATCTATTCTAGGTAGTGAGAACACTGCAACAAAATAAAATCCACCCATCACAGTTTGTTTTGAACATATTATTTTTAAAATTTTAAATAAGTGACAATTCTGCCAAACTAATTGTCAGCATATTTTTGAGTTATTGAGTTTAAATATACATAAAATTAGGTTATTTTTGTGTGTTATTTGGTCCACATTTTGAAAAAATGTTTAATTTTAATCAAACTATATGAAAATACTTTAATTAGGAGTATTAAAACTAAAATCTTAAAAGCAGCGATGGAGCTGAGGACAGAGCTTTGCCTTCCACGCGAAATGCCCGGGTTCGAATCTAGGCTATATAATCTATTTTTTTCATGTTTATTTTATTTATTAAATTTTTGTGTTCTTTTAATAATTTTTTGGCTCATACAAATTTCTAAAATCCAAAACCCACTCATATACCGTTTAAAAATGTCTCTGATGGAATAACAAAAAAACAAATATGCTGAAAAATTCAGGTTATTCAAATTCGCTCAAATTTGGTAGATATAGATAGAAAACCAAAAAAGAAACTTTAATACATTTCGAAATTTTGAGATTTACGTTCCTTATTTGTTACTTCTGGCTTTCTAGTAAATAAATAGAAACAGAGACAAATAAAATATATATTTTCTTTACATTTTTCCACACTTACAACTAATTTTTATCGAAAAGTTTGACACCCAATAGAAAAATAGAAAAATCTTAGGTTAATTTACGTTTCTGTATCTGTAACGTATGAAGGCTGGTTTACTCCATGGCACCTTAGACCACACTAGGACTATTGTGCATCCTTCTGTATTGATATGCACCTCCTAGCAGATTTAATGTGCTTCTATTATATCGGCAGGTGTTAACCAATTCTCATCGAACACAAATCTTCAAATCGATGGTCTCATCTTCTTGTTGGCACCATCAACAGAGTACGGATTCTGACAGCTCCATGCTATGGGGATGCTTCCGTACTTGGCAATGATCTGTCAAAATGCCTGTGATCAGGCGCAGATTTTGTCTAGTAATAGTCAAGTATTTGTTTGCTGTATTGTTGTCAGGATAACTTAAAAGCTCCCTGGTAACTCTACAGCTTCCTGTTTATCCCGTCTTTCCCTGAATTTCGTAAGGGAATATTCTTTAATTAGGTTTGTCACTTCCGATATTGTCAATTTTAATAGAAGGGCCAGGTCCAAAAAAGTATTTGGTTGGCTGTCTTCTTGGCTAGTGAATCAGCGGTTACTTTTCGATTCAGCGTGACCTTTGATCAATCTTAAGGTGAATACTTCGACCAAAGATTCGTGACATTCTAGTACTTACCCTGAGTAATGAGTAGTGCTTGTCTGCTATCTGTATAGACGAATGATATTGTTCCGGCTCTTCTATTTCTTCTGTTATAACTCTATATGATTTATTGAAGATATATCTCAGTGGTATGGCGAAGTCCATGTTCACTTGAAGCAGTACATTTACTTAGTTATTTAATAAAAGTACGGCTTATATTGGCAATTAGTAATGTTCAGTAGCAAGACAAAGACTGATATGGTTTTGGTATTGATTTTGGTCTTAAATCCTTAATCTTGCATCAGGTCATTAGTCTTGATCTTGAGTCTTGGTATTGCATAGAAGATTCTGGCTTTGTTTTGGCCTTGCTACAAGACTTGCACAGATTTGGCGCTAGTGCAACTGATGCCTATTATTAATTAAAGATTTGAAATCAAGAGGAGCAAGCCTATTTTACTTACATCGTTGCTCGGATATTTTCACTCGTCTATATTATTTTCAAATTAGCAAAACCAAGACCAAAACTAAAAGACCAAGACCATGCAGTCTCGCATCATCACTATTAAACAATATAACAGTGTCGTAGATTTTTTATTTTTATTGTCCTTTAATGTTAAAACAAAAACTGATATTTTTAGGAAAAAAAACAGGTCTTTTGTTTTAAATAGTTATGTGAAATCGTATTTGAGTATCATTTCTTAAATTACTAAATTATTTGATAGAACTACTATAAAATAAGCATGACTGTATTTTACTATATTAAAACTAAAATAATTAATTATATTTTTTATGCTATAGATATATTTCATGCTAAAAATCATGTATAATATTTTTTTTCTAGTATAAAACAATAATCCACTGCTAAACTATTGCATCAATACCACAATTGTTAACTGATGCGGTGTTACATGAAACACGAATCTTTTTTAATACCTAATCAGCTCAGCAAAATATAATTAAGCCATTGTAGCTTTATGTAACAAAACAGAAGTCATAGTACGGGAAACATCACTTGCTACCGTTAAACAGTCGTAAATTTCGCTTATTACTTTTCTTATGTTTCTGAAACCATTAACTTTTTCTTTCCGACTATAAAAACAAAGAAAATTGTCAGTATCCCGGATATTGTTTATTGTGTGCGGTAGTAACATAAAAAGTTATGATCGATGGAGGAATCATTCTAGATTGTAGTAATTTTGTGAAAAAGTTACAATGGAATGTAGTCTGGAAAAAGTTTATGCCTTAAAATAAACAAAATGATAAAGAGAAGTATGGTTGTAAAATTATTTGAGTTAGAATCAGATAAATTAAATAATATCACTTGTTAAAGTTTTGTAATAGAGATAATAAATTATTTTGTAAAATAATAACAAAGGAAAAGAATATACGAGTAGTAGCAGTAAGATTTTAAAAGAACGAATAAGAATAAAAAATAAAAGTAAAAAAATAATTACAGAGATTATAGGATACCTACATCAGTCTGCTTCCAAAAGCAGTTGAGTAATTATTACTGGTAGTTAGGGTTGCCAGATTCCCGATAGTAAAAAGCGTGGCAACTGTGACGACAGAGCATTAGGTTCAAATACCAAGCATTTTTATATAATCAGGTCCATTTTTTGAGAAATTTCTAAAAAAAAGGTCCTCAGCTTATATTTTTTGTAAAAACGACGGTCCTTTAGACGGAGATTTGTCTGTTTTTGTAGAAGTCCGGTTCCTTTATGGCTTTAAATTAAAAAGCGTGGTATTTGCATAAAGAGAAAGACATTTTTGTCAAAAGCGTGGCATTTTCGTACTTGACAAGTCAAAAAGCGTGGCAAATACGCCAAAAGCGTGACTTCTGGCAACCCAACTAGTAGTGATAGATGGGTGAAAGAAATTGAGAAAATTAAATATAAGTTTATATAAAAATAAATATAAAACTGATAGTCAATAAAAAACCAAATACCCGTAAGGTATATAACTGTACTACAACTGTAAGTGTAACCATAATGAAGATAAAACTAGTCAAACTCAGGAATGAAAACATGAGTAACCAATTGAGTCAAGTAAATGAAAGAAAATAATCAAATGAAATGTGAACTGGCATTGGAGGTAAAAAAGAATGAAACAGACAAAGCCAAATAAGAAAAGTGATGATATTGAAAATATAGAGAAACAAGAAAGGGAAGAGTAATTGAAATTATGAAGCTCTGATATTGTTAGTGGATACCTGATGATTTACGAAAAAAACCAGAAGTTTATTTTCATTAAAATTAATTCGATATTTAAACGAACTAGGTTTGTGCAGTTTGTTTAAAAAGAAGTATTTTTAGTGTTTTAGAAATTATGATCCGTTTCAATACTTAATAAGCTTGACCTACATACAAACTGTTGCCATAAGTGTGGAAACGAGCATGAATCGAAAGAATGCAGAGAAGAAAATGAACTCGACTGCCCTAACTGTAAACGACTGAAACTTAAAGAGAGAAAACATAGTGATCGAGACCCTTAATGTCCAGCCTTTCAGCTGCAGATAAAAAAGCAAAGAGCTAACATAAATTATAGCAACAATAAAGACAACGAAGGAATTTTTTTATAAATAATTTAAAAAAGCAACAAAATACACACGAAACAAATAAAACAAAAATAAGTTTACTCCACCAAAACATGTAATCCATTGGCAATGCCATTGATGAAGTGGAGTGCTTCTTGGAAAGCGAACCAACTTGTGAAGTTTTCTGTATCATCGAATACTGGAAAACAAACGACCAACTTATAAACTATGATATTAAAGGTTATTCGATGTTAACATATTTCTGGAGAAACAAAGAAAACACACATGGCGGAAGTGAAATTTTTGTGACCCTTAGTTTAAAGTGTAGGTATGTTAATAAGTTAATTATTATTAAAATGCGTTCATCTTTCTTCTATAGTTTCTCTATTTTTATTTATTTTTGTACACAATCCACAAAAGACTTGCTATACTTGTCTTATTTGTGCACGTGATTCATTCGAGTTTCTTTGCATAGAGAAGTTGTTTTAATGCCTAAATAATTCTTGTGTATTTAATTTTTTATCTATCTATCTATCTGGTCATAATTCTCTAGTAGTAACCTCTAGTTTTTTTGT